GTATCAGTAATCGTACTTTATTACGTTTAGTTGCGGTAGCTCACTGGGGTCGTTGACCTAAAGTTCACGGCTTTCGCGTCAGTGTCTCCAAGCAGATGTTTGGATAAATTTTTCAAGCAATCCATCAACCTTGATAGTTAGCCCGGTAACCATTCTCTACAGGCCGGGATTGGCCTGTTACGAGAGCCCTTTGGAGGTAGGAGAACACACTCTTCGCCCTATTGAAAATGATTATAGATAAGGAACCCAATAAGAGAAGTTTAGACGCTTTAAAATTTAAAGTAGGTTTCACAATCCGGCTACAAAAATTGATATGACATTAGGTGAAAGATACAATCTACAAAATATGTGAGAGTCTACTCATATTTTTTGGCTCGTTTTCCTGTAGAATAGTTTCATATGGCGCTATCATATGCGGAGGTCATGTGAACTGCAGCCAATTCACAATACTTGGCGGTATTAGTATCAATGCGCCAATCGACCCCGGCCGAACAAACATTATAATTCAAGTTATACCATCACAAACGTGCCGCATTCAATTGCCATATAGCACATTTTTAACTTCGCCGTCGTGCATAAAAGAATCTCTGCAGCTTTCTACAAGTATTGTGCAGCACTACTTTTTTCTAAGCCCGAACTATTTGACGTTCGCCCATGGATACTGCGTTGTGCGACCAACAGGCAAACAGTCGACGAAAATACAGTTGCGTTGACAACCAGTCGAGCTGCTTAGATCTCTTCCTCTCTCCAGTAACCAGCAAATTGGACAGTCGTCAAACTGGTTAGTCTGTCACCATTTTAAACACATTTGCCTTTCATAGCCGAGCGATCATACATTTGTTTGACACTGTACATATTTTGTGGGATGCGTTTGAAGCATGGAGCTAAAATTTAAGTGCAGACTATCGTGAGTTGTTTGCATACGTGTAACTAAAATTCATCAGAATCATAATGAAAACTAGCCTCTAACAGTCTTCGAAATTTACTAGAAACAGTAGAAATCTGGTAAATAGATAACATATACCGGTGGAGTTGCTTAAGGAATTTCTTCAAAAGGAAGGAGGCAAATGTACTCCGTTATCAACTCCCCTAATATTGTTATCTTTCTATTCAAGGAGCTTTGAAACCTCGGTCTACTTGACCAATATATTCTCTTTTCAGCCGCTCGCGATGCCTGGTAGAGGTTATATTTAAGTCAAATTGAATGTTTTGTCCACTTGTCCCCATATTTTCCTCACCACTGATCAATAGTTATATTTGGAGATTTTGTCCATTCTCGATAATGTTTTGACCGTAAGACACCTACTTAGAGAAGAGGGTTATGCAGATTTTTGTCCTTTTGATCCGATATTTTTTGTTCAATCAAAATAACTTTTCTCCAATCCAAATAATACACAGGTTATATGAGGTTTCCCAGAGATAAAAGAAATAGAAGTACGCAGCGTTATATCGTGTTTTTTTCTTAATGCAAAGATGACGTGCTTCGGTAACGTTTTGTTATATCTAAAGATATATATATCTAAAGACGTGTAATATCCAGAATTTTAAAATAGATAAAAAACGTAACAAAGAGAGCTCTAGGCATAAAGGTCCCCTGTCAGCACAAATCTAAACAAAAATTATATACTTGAGGTTGTCGAGTTCTACCCCACGGGGTAAAGTAACAATGTTATGCTTGCTAATAGACCGTACAAATTAGTGATGTTACAGTCTGCATAAGTATTGCAAGGATTGATTTTGACCAAGTGATTAAAAACGTCTCTATTTGGGTTTCTAATCATAACAGCAATGCATTTTTTTTTCGGTGTTTCTTTGCTAAGCTTTGCACTCTTCCATAATGTTGTCTTAACTCTCAAAATGCAAATCTGTGTAAGAAGCAGTATTCTTTGCTATGTTCTATAATCAAGTGTAAACCAGCCAAACCAGTTTTACTACACACTCAGTACCTGTATAAAAAACTTGGCCACTTTGATTCTATCACTCTCGACTCTGAAGACGCAAGAAACGGTGCTGTTCTTGTGATTTTGTTCGTGCTGTTATCATTTCGGTAAGTGCAGTTGATGATGCAGAGTTGACTTTGTTGTTTTTGCAGTAAGTTATTTATTGTAGGTACACTGGTAATTATAACGGTTGGTAGACCATCGTTCAATTATGTATAGTCCAAGTGTTGAGTTTTTAACAGATATAATTTGCAGCAAATCCTAACTCCATATAAGTTGAGTTTGGTGATATCTTTAAATGGTATTACCCTCCCCAAACATGAACATGAACACAAGGAAAACCATATTTTGCTGTAACATAAACTCTACCTCCATATAGTTTGGAGGTAGAAAACATTGCAGTTTGATAGATTATGGATTGGCGTATACACATATAGGCCTAGGCTGTCCCGCTTTCTTAGAGATTCCATGAATGTTCTTGTCAGTTGGGCTCTCGTGGCAAAAGTCAAAATACAGCTGTACAGTCAGTGACAATAGTTAGCATTTTGAGTTGCAACATGTCTTCTCTTCAAACACAGTTGCCTGGTCCGTGATGGCATCTCGGAAAAATGGCAGTGCATATCGTTGTCTGCACATTCAAGTTTATTGTCCTGTTGCTTGAACCATTTTTTGTTTCTTTGTTTTCGTGTTATCTTTTGTCTGACGTTTTGGAGAATATAGCAGTATTTCAAGAAAAGCTAACTAAAATTGAAACACCTTATGCACTTTCAAATGTAATTCATGTACATAGCGTCGTTTTTGTTTGATCTCTGGGAGTATGCTGGCTGCTAAAATTTCCTTAGCATAGAAAAGTCCTCTGGCATATTATCAGCTTTTAGGGGTATTTTCATCGCTTTTTATGCCTGGTATAGACGCTAAAGTTTAAACTATTGTTGGTAGCAAATATAATTAGCAGTTTCTACAATTTGGCTCCAATCAAAGCCTGGCTAATTAACTCCTTAAACGTCTTGTAGTATAGTACTAATCATTCAACCCACTTGTATGCGCCATGCTTTTGGTTTATTTGTGGTGATTTTTTCTTACCATTGAATTGTCTTCTTTTCACACAGGTGACAGCCAATTGATCATAGATCATAGAAAACAGCAAAAAAATCAGGCAACAGTCAGATCAGAACAAGAGGGTTCGTTGTTTTATATGGCTTCTAACAGCAAGGCAATACAGATGAAGTCCACAACAGGTGATTCTAACAGTCCACAAACGGAAAATAAAACGAAGAAGATGCGGCACAGATGTGAGACGTGCAAGAAGTGGTTCAGCAAACTTGCAGAGCTGACCAGGCACATACGGACTCACACGGGCGAGAAACCTTATGGATGTGAGGATTGCGGCAAAAAATTCCGAAGGCTCAGCCACCTGAAGGTACATATGCGGACTCACACTGGTGAGAAACCGTACAGATGTGAGGATTGTGGCAAGGGATTTAGTTTTCAGTCGAGTTTTAAGGCACACGCACGGACTCACACCGGTGAGAAACCTTACAGATGTGAACTGTGTAACGGGCAGTACAATCGATTGGGTGATCTAAAGGCTCACATGAGGACTCATACTGGTGAGAAACCGTTCCAGTGCAAGGAGTGTGGCAGGCAGTTCAATCAACGACATAGCCTAAAGGAACACCTACAGACTCACACCGGCGAGAAACCTTACAGATGTGAGGAGTGTGGCAAACAGTTCAGTGTGTTAGGTCAGCTGAAGACTCACATGCGGACGCACACTGGTGAGAAACCGTACAGATGTGAGGAGTGCGGCAAACAGTTTTGTCGGCTGGGTACTCTTAAAGAGCACATGAAGACACACACTGGTGAGAAACCCCATACATGTGAGCAGTGTGGCAAGCGGTTTAGTCAGCTTAACAGCATGAAGCAACACATAAGGACTCACACCGGTGAAAAACCTTACAGGTGTGAGATCTGTGGCAACCACTTTAGTCAGCTTGGCAATCTGGCAAGTCACATGCGAATTCACACTGGTGAGAAACCGTACAAATGTGATCGATGCGGCAAGGGTTTTAACCAGTCATCCAATATGAAGAGACATGTCTGTGTGTAGACTAACAGTGAACCGCCAATTCTGTCGATGTGACCAGAAGTGTAAATTTTCGATTACTACCGTTTTGAGTCTTTATATATAAAGACTGGGGACGGTTAACCCATCCGAGACGTTTCCATCCGATCCCCCTTTCAGCGTTTGAAGTGAGCCTAAAGTGAGCAGAAAATGTTAACGTGTGTTTCAGTTCTCTTTTAAATACAGAACAGTAGAAAATTGCTCATTTTTTTGTGATAGACAAGGTACTATTTAGTAGCACATATACGCCGAAAAATGTGTCGTGATTTAAATAGTCTTGCTGTAGACACTAGCGGTAGAAATGATCTTTTTAGAGTTGCTGTAAAGATATACGTTTTGTACTTTCGTTGCCCTATGTTCTGATTGGTTGACTAGTATCAGTTAGTAAGACGTCGTTTATAATGTCTCTGTATATATCACTTTGTTTAAACAGTAAGGTGGTACTTTCTATTGCTAACTAATCTAAGTATCAATGCTAACTTAGAATAAGCCATATTAAATAATACATGTAGTCTGGTAATTAGCATTAACTGTAGGTAATAGAGCTGGATGGTAAAGTAGAGACCTGTTTTGATTGTGAATTTATCAATATTGTAAGTTGAAATTCTGATCAGTTCGGTTGTATCAGTCTATCGACACATATTTAATTAGATCTTGAAGTTTTTGCATGTCGCATGAGTTCAGTACATGTATCCTGATGATTTACAGTAGCTGTAGATAATACAGGTAGATTTTACAGTATAGAGATGCCCCGGTATTATGAAAGTATTGATTCTGTCTGTTTCTGTTCAGTGGGTTGCATTAGTCGAGTAACACATATGAATTAGTTCTTAAAGTTATTGCATTCTGCACTTTTACTAAGTTTTTACAAGCCTGGATTTAGTACAAACAAGTGAAACTAAAGCAGCTGTGCGCATTGTGCTATTAGTTTTAGATCAACATTGCATTTTGCTAAACTTCATGCTCTTTTTTTGCATTTATTAGCCTTAACTTGTCCACGAGTAGTATTTTGTTGTATCAGAAGAACCCTTAAAGATTTGTGGTGAATTAAAATTTACTAATTAAAAAAAATGTTGTTTTTTTAATCTACTTCATTATAAATTATACTTTCTTTGCAACTGTGCCTACTAAAATTGGAGGAAAACATGTTTTATGTTAAAAAAAAAGGTAGACTGACGCATTCTATGGTAGACTGAAGCATTCCAACTAGTCGTCTATCAATGAGGTTTAAATTCTCCTTGTCTGTATATCTTTGTGCTAGAACTTCAGTGCCAGAATTATTATACCCATGGCAGCTGCATCAAATGGGATGGAATAAAAAGACATTTACACCCCGGATTTCTGTAGGAAAGACAAGATAAATGGCATTCTAATCGAACTAACTGACTTTTTGGTATTAACATGTAGGAACAAAAGCCTACACATCCATGGTAAGAACTAAGTTAGAATATGAAGCTACTGTTTGGGATCCCGGCTATGCCACTGCAGGGCAAAAACTGGGAGTCTATGATCTAGTTAAGACATGAAGTTATTGAAAAATATTGTGCCTGGAATGCCAGCAGGACAAGGGTTAAGATGCTTGACTTAATTACAATGATGCAAATTGTGATCTAATTTACATAATTGCTGACGAAGCTTTATAAATCTGCTGCATTCCATGATAGGAGAAATCGAATTCGTGACATATTTACTCAAGTAAAAGAAAAACATCGGCAGATATTGATTATGTATTACTAAATTATGGCCAGGTTTAGATTGTGTTTACATGTTTTGTTAAAAAGGGTTAATTTCTTTATTATTACATCTAGATTTCACAAACAAACACACACACACATATATATTCACACATATACACAAACATACATAAGATATCAACCAACCATGCATACTCTGACAACGAAAACAATTATGAGCAAAGACATATTCAGCTGCAATCATCTGAGTATATTCTTGAATAAGCAAAGTAAATACAAAACCTAACCCTTAAAAAATATCTCCAGTCTCAATGATGAACGGCAGATCGAACTGTGTGAGCAAGTATAACATTGGTACAGACTCATTTACCAGCGTTTGGTATTTGGTATATTCCTTCGGGTATGGAAACATCATTACCATATGAGTAATGCATTGCTTTACAGATCTTCTGATTTATGATGCTTTTACATCAGTTATATCTTCATACGTCTGCCACTGTTCGTGCTCATATCAGATCACCTGAAGGTAAACATTACTGCTAAAGTGTTTCCACTCGATATTTTTTTTTTTACATTTCCGTGTCCGCCACGGCACTTTATTCTCTCCACATGTATGTTACAAATTATATGTCAGCATATAAGCATAATAAATTAATGAAGTACATGAGTCTTGCGAACATAAAACNTATTTTTTTGNGTGTGTGCTTATCTTATTTCTCTTTCAGAGACAGAGTAGAGAGTCTTATTCTTGTCATTCTGAATAGTAATCATGAGTGAATGTCCTAAACAAATGTAGCACATTGTGTTTTCTAAATAACTCAGGATGATCCTTGTATGCTATCCAAGATACATAAATTGTATATTTTGCTAAGGTGACATAAAAATTATCTCCAAATAGTACAGAAGCTATCGTATTTGTGTCTATAGTAATATCATTTTCTGAAAGCAAGTGCTTAACTCCCCCCCAGTAGTCTTTGATCCTTTTACATTCAAAAAACATATGAACATAGTTTTCATCTTGGTTACAAATGTCGCATTTGGGACTGTATATGGTTCCTAGGGTATTAACTATTTTCCATTTGTTCAATAAAAACTTGCAAGGAAGTATTTTATGCAGTAATTTAAAGTTGAATTCTTTTAATCTATTTTCTTTTAATCTTCTGGTTTGTGTTTCCCATATTTTCTTCCAGTTAAGATTCGGGAAAAGACTGTCCCAGTAAGATTGGGAGGAAGGTATAGTGATAATTGTAGACAGACAAAGAGAGTATAAAAATTTGGTGTCAAGCTTTTCAATAGGTATTTTGCATAAATTGATCCATATCATATGGCTTTCCTTGCGAATCTTTATCTTGAAATTTTCGTTTGACCATATTCTATCATCGTATATTTTCACAGGATCCCCCTTCCCCCCTCCAAGTTTCTGCCAGGCTAGAACCACTTCTCTATAAAAGGGTGGGAGTTTAGTCAGGGGTAGAGTATTTTTTTTAACATCAAAATTACATCTAAAAATATCGTAATGTCTTCCAAGTTTGGTAATAAAATGTAAAGGTATTGCTTGCCATCTTCGTATGTTACTGTGATCTGTTTGTATAAGTCTCTTTACCCAGGCCGCTTGTAGGCTTTTACATTTGGAGAATATATCAACCATTTTGATTCCCCCTTCTGAGTAGCTGGAATATAGTGTTGTACGTTTTATTTTGTCAGGTTTATTATCCCAAAGGAACGAGAAGGCTAGTTTTTGAATTTTTTTAAGTACCCATTCTGGGGTTGGAATCATAGACATATTGTAGACAACTTGAGATAAAGCTAAAGTTTTTATAACATAACATTTTCCATACAGAGTTTATCTACGTTTCTGCCACCTTTGGAACATATTTTCAATCTTACATATCCTTTTGTTCCAATTCAAAGATTCGCATACCTCTTCTGAAAGACTAAAGTGCAATCCTAGGGATCTAATGGGCGTTTCCGGCCATGTAATGCCGAAAGGTTTATCTTTACGTTTCTGAAAGGATCCTACCCATAATGCTTCACATTTCCCTAAGTTTAATCTAGGTCCTGCAACTAAACTAAAGGAATCCACAATATCAAGAGCCGTGCGTATAGAAAGGTCGTCAGATAATGTTAGTGTCGTATCGTCGGCGACCCGGCTAATCTTAATTTCAAAATCAAGGTCATGAACTTTAACATTAATACCTTTAACCGAGTCATTATGTCGAATTTTCAGGGCTAGTATTTCTACGACTAAATTAAATAGAAGGGCAGAGAGTGGGCAACCCTGTCGGATACCACGCTGGAGCTGGAAAAAGGCTGTCTTCCAGCCAAAATTAGCTATACAACATTCTATGTCTGTATATATCATTTTAACTAAAGAGATAAAGTTCGGTCCAAAGCCAAATTTCTCAAGGGTTTTAAACATAAAGTTCCAATTGATTGTATCAAAAGCCTTTTGGAAATCAAGGCAGATGATAGCTCCTGGAATGTTATAATGGTTGCAAAAGAAGATAACATCATGTAAAACACGGACATTCTGACCGATAAATCTAGATTTCAAATAAGCTGTTTGATCGTGTGAGATGAGAGTTGGGAGAGTTGCTTGGAGTCTTTTAGCCAAGGCAGCTGCCAGCAACTTATAATCAGTATTAAGGAGACTGATAGGTCTCCAATTGGCGAGATCTTTTCTGTCTCCCTTTTTAAAAATAGTTTAAGGACTGCTCTTTTTTGTGACGGGGACATACATCCCTTTTTTCATAGATTCTTTTAGAGCATCGAAAACAAAATCTCCAATGCTGTTCCAGAATCTAAGATAGAATTCTGCAGGAAGTCCATCAATTCCTGGGGATCTATTAGTTTTCATTGCTTTTTAAAGCCTCAAAAGTATTCCCCCTTTTCCAGGGGTTTCTCTAAAATCAGTCTTTGATGTTCAGAAAGGCTAGATTCTAGTTCAACAGTATCTAGAAACATGTCAATATCACTGTCAGAGACTGAGTTGTCTCTTGTATACAAACGTTCATAAAAGGATTTTTCTAGCTGTAAGATTTTCCCCTGATCGGTGACATCAGTGTCACCATCAGTTAGTTTAGTGATATTATTATTTGCGGCTTGCCATTTTTCAAGGTTGAGAAAGTAAGAAAGAGATTTTTCCCCTTTTTCAACCAATTCTGTTCGTGCTCTAATTTGAGCACCTTTGGCTTTTAATTGGTAGATTTTCTCAATCTCTGTTTTTACGGTAATATATTCCTTTAAAGTTGTTTCATCTAAGTTTTCATCTATTTTATAATCTAGTTCTAGTAGTCTTTTTTCTAAGTAAGTAAGATCTTGTTTCATTAAGGCGGCCTTCCGTTTACAGAAGCCAATGGAGAATTCCTTGATTCGTTTCTTGATAAGTTCCCATAGGAGCTGTTTAGAAATATTAGAGTTTTTGTGTTCCAGAGTAACCTCTAAAATAGAATTTTCAACACCGTCCATGTAATCTTGATCGAAAAGGTATAATGTATTTAGTCGCCAGAGTCCTGGCCCACGCTTTTGTTCGTTTAGTTGCAGTTTTATAAAGATGGCCTTATGATCAGATTTCATGGAAGGCTTTATGGTACACTGTAAAACGTGTTCGACAAGAGATTTTTGAATAAGCCAGAAGTCAATTCTGGAGGCCACTGGTCCTGGATTCTTCCTTCTCCAAGTAAATTGTTTCCTCTTGGGATGGAATTTCCGCCAGATGTCAACCAGGAGTAAGTTTTGCTTTAAAAGTATTCAAGGAATTCCCACCTGTGGGTGTTTTCAATGTGTGTTTTGATTGCCTATCTAACTCACGATCATTTAAATCATTGAAATCTCCACCTGCTAACAGGTTAGTGATCTGGTTATCATTTACCCAATCACAGAGATCGCTAAAGAATTTCCCTCTCTCAGTGTTTCCACTCGATATCATATCATTCATCAAAATCAAGTAGCCTTTAATATTGATACAAAGGCAACATGGCGTTTAAAATCTGCCGACAGCACGGAAGTACATTAAATGATTTTTACGTTACAGGCCGTGTAACTCTTGTAGACTTAAATCTATGTTTTACACATAGATGTTACATAAGAACTTCATCCAAGTTCCATAAACATGCCTTTAACCTGATGTTAACTACCGTTTCATAACAACGAAGATGATAGTAAAGAATGTTGTTCTTCTGTAACGCGACATTTAACTGTACAGGGCTGGGGTCTAATTTTAACTTAACGTTACCTAACAGATGGATATATGAGTAAATACATTAAAAGATTAATGATAAAATCTTTGCGTGGGTCACAATGATGAACATCAGGTGGTGCACACATTGATAGACAGATGGTGAACAAACATTCTGTCTCTAAATACAGACATGCAATTGGTCTTTTGTGATTGAAGCTTAAATCTTGAATTTACGCTTAAATTCTTTTCTACCGTGCTTTAATGGTCCGTTTTTCTTTTTGTTTCAGTGTTGTATTTCGTACCGAAGGTGTTGACTTACGGAGTTTTTTGTTTATATTTTGACTTTAACAGGCCAAACCGGTCTTACGTGTTCTCATTATTTTTAATTAGAACAAAAGAAAAAAGGAAATTACGCTGTTATTTGTGTGATGTCATCAATGTTGCATAACCAAGTGGTTTTAACTGCAACTTTTTAACACTTTTTAACAATCCTGTCTCTCAATTTTGCAGGTTCAATTAAGCTGCTCTTTAATTTCAATTTCGGTCAATCCTGTGTCTTTAGGACTTAGTTAATACTGAAATTATCCAACGTGCAGTATCCAACGACTTGACTGTGCAGACCCGAACTTTTACAGAGTGAACAACTAAAAAGCAAAACTGCGTTTCTTGAATAACCAAGGAACATACAAAACTTTTTCATCTCCAGTCTCAATGACAAACAGCACACATCTCCCGACCTCAAAGATATACAGTTGATGGTCTTTCTTAATTGTGAAAGAGTTGTAGACTTTAGTCTTTTAATGATATTAATTATGAGGCAAAGACTGTCGACTACAGTCATGCCGAATGTATTGGAAAAACATGTTCGTCTTCAGTAGTGTAAGACATACAACTGTACAGGTCTGGGGTCTAATAGTTAATTACCTTTGCTATGAATATATGAGTAAATGTGTAAAACTAATGCATACCATCTAGATATATCACGACGATGCATCGTCTCTCGCTCCTGCAATTACAGAATAAGCTGCAGCCGACCCCAAAATATGCCACTTCTTTCAGAACTACCATAAGAGAAAATGAAATGAAACAAAAAGGAGCATAGTTTGTCCAGAAAACGAGAACTCAAAATGGTAAGTAACCCATGGGATATAAATGATGCTTGTCAGTAAGAAATTTCTTTCCACTATTGTGATGTACCCAGAATAGTTTTGATAAAAGGCAATTATGCTGGCAAAAGAATGTTATCTTAACACACCCGAACATGTAACAATTTATATACGTTTCAAAATCAGTCGGCGTTGTTTAAAGCCATTTAATGAGGATGTCCATATTGTTAATGCTGGTAGCACATCTTCAGTATCTTTTTTGGTAGATATCACAAAAACAGCCTTATCTGACTGTGTGGCAACATACATATTTAAAAGTGGGTGGTTTATGGCCTATTTTTGTATACTAGTGGACTGAATGCCTCAATGGTTTAACCGGTACTATTCAACTAGAAGTTTAATAAAAGTGCAAATAAACTGTAGGTAGATTTTTAGATTTCTATTTTGTTTCCGTTACTTCACATCTGTTCAAAAACTACATAATCATATTCTCTTTATTCCCACACTAACCCTTAACAAGGCTCAAACGTAAAACAGCCCTTTAAATGAAAACCTGAAGAAGATGGTTTCTATAGTTCCTGCATTAAACTGGCTCCATTACTACTCACGGTATACATGTATGTTCAAACTCAGCACATCTAAAAAGAATTGGGTGGATCATTACTATATAACCTAAAAAAATACCGATTATATTAGATATGAAACACGGGGTTTATGGTGTGCTATAGATCAAGCAAAACGGATAGGTCCTTAATCTTTAATTTTAGACGGCATTTCCTAACCCCCCTCTTAATTTCTATCGGAAAAGGAAACGTTGTACGCTCTAAAGAAGGACTATAGTTAGCCCAATTACGGTGATCTTTTTCTGATGCGTCCTTTGCAGAGGTCAATGCCACCATCCCGTGGACCTAAAACAGATGGAACAGCACTCTTGTAAAAACGTAGAGTTATCATTGAAAATGACTTTTGAGCCAAGTCTAATCCTAACGGAAGCTGTTGTTTGTATGGATTAAAACTAGATATGAGTTGTCATCGGAGGTTAATCATTGTGCATTCCTGGATAATCTGGAGCTTACTTACTTAGTTACCTACTTATTTTGATTTATCCGGCCACTTCTACCTTGTATCTGGACCAATACATAAAAAAACTAATGCCACTCACCTTACGAATAGTAACAGTAGTGAAGTCGGTGGTTTCGGCCTCCGCCATCATCGTACGGATACGCCCCCTGGACGCGGTTCTCGTTATCGTCATCTTCATCATCCCAACGGAAGATCTCCTCTCGGACAGTCATCCCAGAGACCTGTAAACAACACATCATACTATGCTTTATTATCTCCATGAAAAATTGCGGTATTATTTTTGGCATGTCTGTGTGTGTGTGTGTGTCAGTCTGTGTGTGAGTTTGTGTTTCCGCACATTTGTAGTTAGCATAACTTCATAACATCTTTATTGATTGTGATGGTATTTGGTATGCTGGTAAGTCTTAGGAAGACAAAGGTTAAGGTCAAATATGGGCCTCCAGGTGGATGACTTTGGTACTGCAGCAGAACTTCCGGTTTTTGTATCTTTCGTCCTGAACATGCTATGGTCTTGACTTTTTAGTGACAGGTAGCTTTTCCTGTCATGAATAAGTGGTGTGGATTTAGTACCCCTAGCAGCTTGTTCTGGAACTGCAGGGGACTTTCTGGCGACATCTTCAAAAGCAAATAAGTCCAGATAGGAACAACATATTTTCATGATTTTGGTGTGTAGGTAGCTAAGAGAGATGTACATAATTAACCCTAAACAGTACACCTGGGGTCCGCGCGGACCTCAGCACTATATATTCTGTAATATCTTTTTTGTTTCTAAAGATTTTTTTCTGAAATTTTAGGTAATTGTCACCCACAAAGTTGTCTCTCAATACAGTGCAGAAAACTCCGTTTGTACCATTTATAAAAAAATTATATCTGATTTTCTTTTGGGGTCCGCGCGGACCCCAGCCGGCTTTCGATCATAATGGATACACTGGCGTTCTTATACATTACCTTATTTCCGTTTTTATATGTTTTTATGCACTCATCGTATGTCTACCAAGTTTTCAGAGAATGGTGTAGTAATAGAATTAAATTTTAATAACTTTGGTGTAATTATGATGTCATATGACGTCAGAGCTAATAATATATTTCCGAAAATAGTTTCATCAGGTTGGTAAAACTTAAGAGATATGGGAATTCTTTATACACAACCAAAAGAAGTCTCACCTCGCTGACGTTTCGGTGTCTGTCAGACACCTTCTTCAGAGCTTCTTCAGAGCTGGGATACTGAGAACAGCGAAACCCCCGAAATCTAACATTACAAAACAAGAAAGGGATGCCTTGAAAGAACTGAGAAAAGAAAAGACCTGCTAATCCTTCCGGCAGACAAGGGGAAGGCGACGGTAGTGATGGACAGAACAGACTATGAGAAGAAGGTGAGTGATATGCTAGCGGACGAAAAAACTTACGAGAAATTGTCTATGGACCCGACACAAAGATACAAGAGGAAACTAGTGGCCATTTTGAAACGACTTAAGGGAAACAACAAGATTACGGATGAACAGTATAAAA